CATCCTGTCTGGGTTGTTTTGTCTGGAGATCCCGGATGCTGGGCGGGTAGTTCCAGCACTGCTTACATAACGGGTGGATTGACCATGTGTCGCCTTTCCCACCCATGGCTCCACCCGAAAGGCGGTCGCTTCCGTTCCCCAAAGGACCCAACGGTGTCGCCAGATCCGTCGAACCGTCTTCGGCATGCCACGACCTTCACCGGTCGGTTCACGGGGCCGGTCGCTCAATTGGTCTTCTGTTCAAGGAGAAGAACGTTGACCGTTGATGATCATTGAACACCCTGGGGCTCCAAGTACCTGGTATCTGGACGAACCCACCCCCAAACACCTTCTGAGGAGGTACTTGGAGCCCTAGCAATACACATTTGACAGATGGATTTCAACAGTTGGTCATGGCGAACGGGTCACGGGGGCCGATGGATGCCACAATAGCCAAGTCCCGAAGAATCTGGACTGCTGGTTTACCATTTAGTCTTTCAACCACTGGTTGAAGACTGGAACCACTGGCAGTAGCGTCCTTGCTACTAGTATGGAAGAATACATGCCGACAAAAACCGCTTGGAGAAAAGAGAATCACAGAAGTTCTTCATCGGTCGATGGCATGATGCTCCTGGACGGTCCGCACGCTCCGCGCGGTTCCGCGACCTGAGCGGTGCGCTGGACCTACCACGACCCGGTGAGCTTCGGCAGAGTGCCAGGTGTTTTGGAGGAGCTCACCGGGCAGCTTTCACGGCTTGGCAGGGAAGCCTGGTGAAGCGATGTGGCGGGAGCCCTGTCATGGCAGAAACGGGTGGACTCTCCAATGTGATGGGGTCCTTTTTCAAACCCTGCATTCTGAGACCCTGGTAACTCTATAGGTATCTATAGGTACTGAATGGTCGCAAGATAGACAGCTGCTAAACAAGACAGTGCCAGAGTAACCCTTTCTACCTCATTTGTCTGTGTATGTTTGGTGAGGGCTCGTGTCTCAGACGGCGAGTAAACGCATCTATCCACCTCCAGGCACATGCAATCCGTGGGCGACCCACGAGGGATCGGACCCTCATCCTCTGGGGTCTCTAGGGCAGGTCTCCAATTCGCGAGACTGGAGCTCGGTCGGAGTCCGAGGTCGGTCGGAGGATTGGGGGCCTTTTTTTGGGACGAGACACGCCACCGGATTCCGTGACTCTTCCCTAGACTTCCAAGACCATTAAAAAACAATGGTTGACCTGGTTTTTGTATTGTAAAATCCCTAGTTGATTTGGTAAAGCCTATAAAAATAATGGTGGTTGGAAGCCTTCGGCTCTTGGATTCCTTTTTCTTTCGTCCGCTTCGCTTCACCATACAATCCACCGACCGGATGACCTTCGGCTCCGAGGCCGCGAGCGGGCACATGACCAGGGGCCCTGCGAATTGGAGCTCGGGGCGCCCGGGTCCGGGTGACGTTGGACCCGTCGGGTCTTCCGATCAAGGCGGCGGGGGGTCGAATGGACAAAGGCTTCCCCGAGGTCGCGGAAGGTGTTGGATGTTTCATGTTTGTTTTTTTCGGAGCCGTGAAAGAATTTGAGAACCCGAAGGACCCAAGTTTCCGGAAACCACCGGTTGCGGTGGCAGCAAGAGGGTATGGAAGTTCGAGTGAGCTGAGTGAAAGACCATGGGCAGGTGTTCCATAAAGAGACTTACTGTGATTGCTGAAAGTCAGATACTGACTGTATAATTTACACCGTGTTGATTTCCGTATCTAGTGCTCAATCAACCACATTCTTATAGCTCTTGTCACGAGTCTTTGTGTTGGAACCATTATGGGTGACCCCTTTTTGTGGCCACTCTCGAAGACTTGAGGGCACTCGCATGCCTCTTCCAGACCAGCTACCGCTCGCATCGGGGGCCCGCCTGATGCAGCTCCCAGCCCCTGAGGACGGGCTTGCGGCAGGTCATTGCGATGGTGAGCCCGGGATCCTCGGAATCCTCGTCGATGGCGGGATCCTCCGCGGAGTCGGTGGCATTGTGCGGTTGGTCGACTCAAAGGAGTTTTTTCGTGGTGAGCCCTGGTGGTTGGAGAGCTCGGAATCTTTGAAAGCAGATCTACCTGAATCTATCTATCTGATCCATTGTTTTGGTCATTGATCTATCTGAATCTATCTATAAAGCACCTGATGTTTTGGGGGTCTCCATGCAAGACTACCATGCACTACTGGATTGGAGCAACCCTTTGAGCAACCCTTTGAAGTTCCAGGTATGTAAAGTGAGGATCTCCAAGCTGTTTCTATTCCGAAGCATCTGGCACTATCTTGCTTGGGAGAAATGAGCGGATAAACCACTTTATCAAGCTGCTTTGGGCTCTCAAACGAACAGCCAGCCAGAGTTCGTTCGGCCAAAACCTTTCTCCGGCATCGGGAGCCGGGCAGAGATGACCTACCAGATGACCCAGAAACGACCTACAACTATGACCCCTAAATAGATGGAAAGGTCAATCCCCATGTATTGGGAACCGTGCCACTATTTATATATTTAGGGGACCACTATACTCAGCTGAGGAAACCCAAGCTATAGATGGATTTTCTCTTCAAAAGCACTGAACATCCACAGACTGAGTGTGGCAACACGTGTTCGGGTCCAACTGAGTGTGGCAGGTCTTTTCATGGACGGAGCCAGTGCCTCTATCTTGACCCTGACACAGATGTACATACATTTTCTCCCCAGGTCAACCACCCCAATGCACTTTCAATCCTGTCAGTCCCATTGGAGTGTTTCTAGTGGTCCTGCTTGCCTGCCGCTCGTCGTCGAAGCTCCGGGTCCGTCGACCGGGACTCCGCGCGGCTGCTCCCGTGGTCCTCGTCCTCGTCCGCTCGTGGCGGGTTCGGATGGCGGATGCTGTGGACGTGGAGGAACATGGAGTCTGGTTCAGACGGTATGGGGTGTTACGGAGTAGACGGTCTCAATCGGTTGGAACGGGGCTGATGGTCGATGGGCTTTTCAGAGAGAGGCCATCCAATTTGGGTGGGACATTGTGACTGCAAAGAATTTGATACAAACCGCAAGAGGGGTATTGGTCTAGGGAGATGTTTGGGAAGGACGCTGGAGCACGCAGCACGCCGAAGCCTGCAGCTTTCGGCTGATCGCCGACGAAGCAATGCAAGCAAGAGCTTGAGCCGTACAGCAATCGAGCCATTCTTTTGGTCACACCTATTGGGTGTAGGTCAAGAGCAATACCAAATAATACCAAGGTAATTTTGAGGAGTGGACCCTCGACCCAATCAGGTGGATGGTGTGGATGGTCCTGCTCACAGTTCTTGGAACTATCTGACTATCTGACCCACAGGCTGCATCCTGACCCAAAAAGACCCAGATCTGTTTTTGTTGGGGTCTCAATGCAACATGTACCGACGATCGAACTGGAACTTGAACGGTCAACCCTTGCTGGAAATCCGTCATCGAATGTCATCGATGAACCATGCAAATGAACCTTTCTGGCGAGCTACTCTCAGAACACATGGATTGCCCCAATGGCTGCCAAGGGGCATTTTGAAAGATTCCTTGGAAGGCTTGGAGAAACAAGCCAAAGATTGTAGGCTAAGGAGGCCATGAATTACTTCGAACTGCAACTCCTTTTAGAATCACCTTTTGCTTGCCTTAAAGAGAGACGGGGCCATTTGGCTACTCCATCAAAGATGATTCCACACTCGACTCCAAAAAGTCAAAAAGCAAAACATTCATGGGAGCAAAACCCTGCTAGAACTTCCAGTCTACTTCCCGAGCCGCGATCGACGCCCATCGCGAGAGCAAACCAAAAAAAGGAGGTTTCACGCGATCATCACGGCCGTCGTGCCATGGCAGTGCGCGTTCGCCCGTTGAAACTGCCAACCTGGAGGAGTTTTCTGTCCAGGCCAACCCTGGGAGGGTGGACGACGAGGTGGGCTGAGGTGAGTGGGAGGCGCAGCACCTCTTGTTGTTCTTGAATGGTCTTGGAAGCTTCCGAAGACATCGTGCCAAGAAGCTATCAGGTGGCCGACATTTGCCATGATGATTATCCTGAAACCTTATTCAGGTGCCAAGTAAGACACATTTGCCACTGGAGCCTGGCACAGCCTGCCACCCCACCTCGCTGTCTCAGGCCGACGACCAGCGCAATCGACCGGGTCGGAGCACGATGGACGCCTTCCCTGTGGCCCCAGGTGCATGGGTGTGGGACATGGTGTGTGACTCAAGAACATTGAAGAAGCCTACCCAGAAATGGTTGAAATATTGATTCCCTAGGTGAGGGTTGTTAGATTATATGTCAGCTGCCGCGCTGTTCTCCTCCTCTCGTCTCCTCGTCCTCCTCCTCCTCCTCCTTATCCTCCTCAACCGCAAGTGTAGGACGGCAGTGTTCCCCGCCGGACCTCAACCGCCAGCTCCGGACAGCAGTGTTCCCCGCCGGACCTCAACCGCGAGTCGGAAGATATGCCAGATAGAACGCCAGAAAGAATGTCAGAAGATATGCCTTTGTCCTACTACCTGTGCCAGTCAAGAACAGATTATCACTATTTTTGAAGGCCTGCAACCACACCCCATCACCATCATCATCATCATCATCATCACCCACTGTTACAGGGAATAGGATAGACCCGACGTATATGTCTCTTTCACTATCCAGCTGCAGCTTCTTCACTGTGTGTCCTCAAACAAGGCGTCCGGTCCAGTCACCTTTCACACACCTTGGGCGTGACCTCAAACCCAGCCCAAGTGATATCAAAAGACATCTCAAGCAGTCACCGAGTACCACACCCACGTCCTCATGTGGGTGATCTCATGCATTCGTCGGATAGTCTATAGTATTACGGGCACATCAAGCGACGTCACTGGATGCAAGCAGAAACCAGTGTCACAAACCTTTGCTTCACCGCCATCCGGACCCGTTGTGACGGCGCTTGGTCGCCAGGTTCGAGGCTTCGGTGCGGTGGGTCAAGGGGTGCAGGTCCACCGAAGGCCTGTGACTTGGCGAGGACCGTGGGTGTGTGGGTCCACCGTGGAACAGGAACCATTTTGGGACCAGCAAAAACTGACACCAAGAGAGGAAACCATGAAGGCAAATGGTTGCTGCCTCGTGAAGTACGAACTTCTATGGTTTGATTCCATGTTGGTCGGGCCTTCAAAGTGTTTTTGAAGGAGAGAACACAGCAAGAAACAATTCAAAGAAACCATTGTCAAGGTTCCCTTGGGTTTAAACTTATCAGTTATTCTCTTGTTCCTGGTCATTGGAAGCACATAAACAAGGGACGGTCACGTTCAAAACCTCTCCTGCAGGCTGTTACTTGGAGGGAGTGCTTTGGATGGACATGACTATACTGAGAAATACACCATAGCTTCGGTTCATGGATCCTTTCTTTCGACCCCTAGAACCACTCAAGCACGTCACCAGCATGCGGTTCTCAGCCCCCGATCCCCTTCTTGGACCCCAACCAAAAGGACGGTCATCAGTCACCCGTCGCCCGCCTAGGTCCGCTCCGTGAACTTTGCGCCCGACGGGCAGCGGCTCTGCACGGCCTCGGAGGAGCCGCGGTCGTCGCGGGGCGGACGGGCGGTGCGGACGGTGGGAGACGGTGCCGTTCGGAGACGTTGGGACCTCTTGGGAAGCAGTCAGGACTCTTGGGAGGAGTGAAACATAGTGTGTGTTACATGGGTTTTTATTTTCTCCTTAAGTGCTTAAGCTGGCTCTCCAGCCTTGGACCAAGTTTCTCAGCCCTTCGGTTTGCTCCCTGCGGTCGACCGGACCGATCCATGGAGGCGTTTTCTCGCGTCAGGACGGCACCGCCAAGGTCTTCGACCTGTCCACGGGGAAGTTGCTCAAGGAGTCGACTTGGTGAGTCAAGTCGAGTGGAAAAAGGGAGGGGGTGGGACGAGGCGATGGGCCCCAACCTCCATCCTGTGGCCCCAAAAAAACTATGGACCCGAAACCGCGAACGCAAAGCACAGTCCTCTCTGAAAGGAATTGGCGATGGGCTCAACGCCTGGAGGTGCTCAACCATTCAACTCCACCGAGAGAGATGGGGAGTTTTTCATGCGCGAAGGTTTCGCACGATGTTTCGCACTTCCATCCACTTCCTTAAGAAAAGGGAGCTGAACCAGGACCCTCAACCAGAATTGTCCAATGGACGGACCTCGTGTAAAGACGTGCCCAAGAACCCACTGGGGCGAGCTCGGAAAGCAGACGTTCAGACCTTTATCAGACCGACGAGCGATGGCCTCCAACCTAGTAGTGTCCGATCTCTCCGTTCGTAGCGATGCCAGGAGCCGCGTTCGTAGCTTCTTGCTTGCTCCTAGTAGTAAGGCCAGGAGCCCCCCTTCGTACCGTCGTTCGTAGCGTCCTTGCTACTAGCGATGGCCTCCAACCTACTAGCCCCTTTCCCTCAAAGCCTGGGGATTTTTCTGAGAGACCCCAGACCCCTGACCTTCGGATTCGGGGCCCAGACCCTTGGATCGCGGATTCGGCGAAAGCCTCAGGAGGTGGACCACCACAATACGATTTGGTGGGCCGACTTCAGCCAGGCGGGCTGGCTCTAGGTAGGAGACCTATAGGGTAGACCTACATGGATCTACACGTTTTTGGGAACCTGAGTGAGCTTTGTTTCGGCGACTGATCTAAAACGGACCCTTTTTTCCGATCCAAAAAGAGGTCCAACAGGTTCTAGCCTCTTGAACTGAAGTTTTGCACCTTGACGGTGGAACGATCGTAGACTCCACAGGCAAAAGCTCGAAACAACCCCCATCCACTCGATCTGGATGTGGATCATGGCACCAGAATCCTTTGCTTGACCTATACTGTCGGTTTCTTCCGCGCCATGCCGGACATGGTCGGGCTCTTAAACGGACGGTTTTCACGACGGGACGACCCTCCCCTCGATGTTTCACTCGAGGATGGGCAGATGCTGGTCACCTGCTCCGACGACCGCTCGGTCAGGGTCTATGACTGCTCGCGCTGGGAATTGCTGGACGCGGGGACGCGCGTTCGTACGACGGGCGTTTACGCGGGCGTTGTTTGCGCCGTGTTCGAAGGGTTGGAGCGGAACTGGGGTGAGACGAAACCACTAAAGACCACTTTGGGATTTGGATTCTGTGCAAGGGTTTTGGGGACGCAACCCGAAGTTTTGAACAGTAACTTATCCCAAACAAGAGCGGGCCCATGGGGACACTGTCCCAAAAGCTTAGATTCTCAGATCTTGAAACCAGCTCAACGACACTTTTGCGTGCTTTTCGGACCAGACGCAAAACCAGGGCCCAACCACGGAACTGCCACGCAGAACAGCTGCCGAACCACCTCCAGACCACACCACTTAGTTGCCGGGCCGTCGCCCGGGCCCACCAAACGCCAGACGCCTTCGGCACCGGGCGGCGCCAGGAGATGTTTGGCCACGGCTTGCCGGTGAAGTCTGCGAGCTTCTCTGGGGAGCGCCTGGCCACCGCCAGTGGCGACGGGCCACCCGTACCGAGCGGTGAAGCCTCCGTCCGGGTGGGGGGTGGAGCCACGTGGGTGGAGGAGCCATGTGTGGTTGGACCGGGATGCGACAGGATGCGTGGCTCCTGTGGTTCGGTACAGCTTGGGATTCATTCAGAACAGGATGGTTCGGTACAGCTTCGGTACAGCTTTGTGTAATACTACAAACGATATTTGGTTAGATGCGATGTAATCCAAAACGCGCGACGCGGACACCCATGTGTGGCGGCGCCATGTGCAATGTCGGTGAGGTGGACAGAGCAAAGTTGATCGCTTTTTGGCGGGGAGGAACGAAGGCAATTGTGTTTTGATGGGAACTGATGCAGAGTGTTGAAGATCAAGCTCAGTGTGACATGAGGCCTTCTTCTAAGAATTAGGCCGAAGCTCCATGCTCATAGTGGGTGGCATTGTGTTTGGGTGCAAAAAATGGTCGAGTGTTTGTTATTGCCAGGGTAAGCAGTTCATGGACTCCGTAAGCGGCTGTCCAGGAGGTGCTGCGGAACTTGGATGGCTGCCACTCTCCGAACCGCTGTTTTTGTGCGACAAGTTTGGTTGACGTTTCTGCATTTAAAAACCGGGTTTGGGTAGAGGATGCATGCTGATTCTACTGGTCCTTTTTTACAGATTCTGACCATCCTATTGGTCATGGATGGCTCCGATCACCCTTCCTCATCTTTTCTGGGGCCCGATGTTCTGCACGGAAGACACCGGACACCGTGGGTAGAGTCTTCGCCATTTTGAACCGCGCGCTGTGATGCCTACGGCATCAGGTTCCTGAGAGTCTTTGATTTGGACTCCGGCCGCGAGGCCGGCGAAACGCACCCGGAGAAAGACCGACAAGAGAAGGGACGAAGTTGGTGAAGTGGACCAAGATCCGGAAGACACGATCTGATGGGTTTTGGAGGGGACCATTGAATCTCTAGCATAGAGGAGAGGAAGAGGATGAAAGATGCCTATAGCCTTCTCTGATATCGGAAGAAGAATTCGAAGCTCGAAGGCTTTAAGTTCGGGCAAGAACTTCAAGAACTTCGGGTGCCAAAGAGTCCACGCATCCACCGAGAACTGCGGTTGTCACGAAGAACAACATGAGTATCCCCACAGGTCAGTGAAGAACCTCATGAAATACAGAAGTTGAGTTGATCAACACCAAAATTACTCAATGACGTATTTCAAAGGACCAGGAGATTGGACCTGGGCCAGGAAAAGCGACACACGAGTTCGTCACCACTTTCTTCCCGTGTGACACACGAACCACTCCATGACGTCGACTTTTTTTGGCGCTGATCTCATACCGTCGAACCCAACCCGCCCTCGAAGTCTCACCTCTGCGCGTAAACCCAAACGCCAACTCGGCGCTCTATGCGCGCGCCGCTTCTGCCTCAGTTGGCGCCTCGGAACCAAGATGCCGTCCCCCAAACTGCCTCAGTTGGCCAAGCACAAGCACGAGAGCTGGGTGATTTCCTGCCGCTTTGCGCATGACGGCACCTTCCTCGTGACTCGGATGACCTGGCCCACGCACCGCGTCGTTGCGGGGTGCAGTGACGCCCCAAACCGACCCGAAGCACACCCGAACCCCATTGGTTCGGGCCCGGATTCCGAAAGAGCAGAATGTCTCGTGAGAACTCCGGACCTGACCATGGCGTGTCCTGACGTGTGGCCGCGGCCAGGAACATGAGGCTTGGATCACACACCCAAAGCCACACACGATCCATAATTACATCGATCCAATTTGAAAGGAGTAGCTGTTCCTCCCATGACCCTGGTGATGACTCCGAATTCCAAGCCCTTCTTGGATCCGACCATCGGGCCCCTCCTGAGGAAGCAAAGGGGATGGACCTTCAGGACTTCCATGATTTTTTTGGAAAGAGTGTATCTTCCAAGGGTACCATGTTCTTGGATGGAAGGTTTGTAGATGGTCGAAGAACTGCTTGGGTCGAAGCTGCTGAAGAACTGCCAAGAGCTGTGGAAGGGACATGGTTGAAGGAGGACCTCCTGCACCTGGAGTTGCTGCTCCTCCCCGCAAAATACTGTAAATGTGTTCATTGACTTTGTGCTTTTTTCAACTATAGGAGCGAAATCCATCAAAAGAAATATATTAGGATACATATTTATTAGGATCTTGATATATTCTTGATATAACTAGATTATTATCATCCCTGGAAATAGGATCTTGATATATCTGGTTTATTCAGGTTTCATATATTAGTGATATTTTTGATTATATCTTGACATATCGTGATATATTAGGATACATCATTAGTGATCCTATTTCAAGGGTTTCCCACTTGGAAGGTCGACTCTTCTTCCACCCGAGGCGAGCGGGGCGGCGGACAAGTGGCTCCGCGTCTTCGATGAGGAGGGCGAACTGGCGCCTCGGCGGTTCGTGCGGCGGTTTCGGGGGGGCGGGAAGGAACTGGAGTAGACTGGCGATGGCCTCCACCTAATAGCGATGGAGCAAGAACATTGTAGACTCCAAGTTTTATCCATCCATCCAGACATCTTTCTGGTAGGGACTGGGTTTAGTATGTATTCATGTTGACAAACCACAGGTGAAACTGTGAAGTGATTTCATGTGATCATGTGATCTTCTGCTTCTTCATGACTGGAACGCCCATCCGGAAGTGTCGCACAGCCCGAGACCACCGCCCCGTTCTGCCTCAGAGAGGTAGTGGGGGGGTCGCCGGGTGGAGCTGGTAAGTAAGCACCCTGGCTTTCCTTTCTGAGTGAAAGACCAGGCTTTGGCCGTAGCAACTCCAGCGGTTTGCCCCAAAATGTGTATGGAGACTCTCCAGGTGCCTTTCCCCTCCAAAGGAGTTTTGTCAGAGTTTGCCGCGGGCCATGGGGTGTGTGCCCAGCCCTAGAAATCTCCCTCCAGCGTCGTGGGACGCGCCCTCCGCCCTTCGACGTCTGAAAGCACCCTCCGTCGCCCGCAGCAGAACGCGCGAAACGCGTCCCAGGTCTTCAAGCACTGCTTCGCGGGACTGGTGACGTGTGCCTTGACGGGCGAGGGGAGAGCGGTGGGAGAGCGGTGGGGAGAGCGGTGGGACAGTCGCGCCCAGAGGCGCAGGCCCCAGAGTTGGCCCCCACAGGCGCTTGTTCATGCTGTCTGCTCTAAGAATGCGCACGGACCCTTCGCAGGGGACCTTCTCCACCGAAACGCAAGGGTTCGGACCCCAAGCGAAACCCTTCCCATAGCAGTCGGGCCCGGACTAGGGTGGCTTATTTTGGGGGGAAGTCAATGCATTGACATCATTGACTCATTCACCACTTCGAAGACGGGTTGATATCACTTCAGCAGTGACTCGACCTGGGGTTCTCCCAGCTTAGTGATTGGCCCGATGAGGCAATTGCACATTTACACGATTTGGAGGTGTTTTTGGATAACCCGCTAAGTGAGTCAATAGAAATTAAACAGCTCGCCTTGGGGTTTAGTTGAGCGGACAAAGGAGACTCGGAATAAGTGCGTGTTTGCACCGTAGATGTTTACAGTTTGTGCTTCCCCTCCCAACTTATCCACTACTATACAGACTACAAACTATCGCCATTGCCGTTGCCAACAGCATCATCACTATCATTAAAACTGTCATATATTCATATTCACAATCGAATGATCCCCACTAGTCACCATCGTTTCCATCCACATGATAGGATCATATAGGATCATATAGGAACACCATCTTCTTCTGCATCGCCTGCTGAAGCACTTCCTCACGACGACCTGGTGCTTCGTCTCACTGTGAGGCGTGGACTTCTCCAAAGAGGCGCTCTTGTGCGCCACCACCACACGCCAGGAGGCACGGACGGTGAGCAGCGGTGGGCCCCAGGTTTGTTTCTGCTCCCATAGTTCTGTAGCTCGTTTTTTAGCCTGGATTTGTAGCTTTTCTTTTTCTTCAGAAAGGGTATGTGTTGAACAGTCCAGTCCTATAGAAAGTCCTGGACTCGGGATGAAAGCACCTCGGGGGCCTTGTCGTCGTTTGTGAAAGTGACCAACGAGGCCTACAGTCAGACGCTCCTGTCGGCGTTCCCGCTGGAAGGTTCGGAAAAAACCATCCCCATTGGTTGGGGATCTAATGATGAATGTTCATGTACAAACCACAGGGTTGAAACCCTGTGAAACCGGATCATCGAAGGATCTCAGTGATTCTTTTGAACGCGCTCGCGCCTTTGGCGGCTCGCTGTGGCCATGTTCTCCCGGGCCGAACCAAACCGCTGCCGAACGCCCCGGAAAGGATGGGATCTATGTGCTGGATGTGCCCAGTGGACGCCGAGTGCAGGTGCGATCGAAGCGCGCAGCTGGCGTGGACAGACACAGAAAGGGGCGGATTGTGCGGATTGATGTGGTCAGGAACTTGTCATGGGGTCAGCCCTGCTCTGCTCCCAATTCCAAAAAATAGCCATGTGAACAGTCAGCAAGTTCCAGTCGAATCTGGAAAGCCCTAGAATGTATACTGTATACTATAAAATATGACATGCATGCAGTTTTTTGTAAAATCAGTCATCTGACTGGTTAAACTCTCAATTGGACTGTTGAAGAAGGCTAGTCACTGGTCCGGCGTCCCCATGCTGCAGAAGAGCTGCTGTTGTCGGTGCAGGGCTTCGTTGGTGCAGAGATGAACGCATTCCACCAACACCTGGAGGGGATACCTGGATACCTAGCTCTAGCAGCTAGAGTCTACAGCTGAGGCGACCATTGACCGCAAAATGGAGTTGGCCTGAAGGAAGGAAGGAAGGAAGGGAAGGGAAGGGAAGGGAGGAAGGAAGGAAGGAATACCTACAGGCTTCCCATACCATATTTTCCCCTTTCCCTGCGCAAACACATGTGTTTCCTGTAGATGTTCCGCTCACGCCGCGCAAACCACGCTCTGCGCAGCTCATCCAGCAGAAGGCGATTGCCCTGTCTGCGAGGCGTTGAAACCGCGCGGCGGGCGGGCGAGGAGTATTGGACGTCTCGACCCGTGGCCCCAGGGTTGAACGTCTATTTTCTCTTCCCCAAGGGTGCTTGGGGATTCTTCACATTCTCGTATTTCAAGATGCATCCATATATAGGTTTTAGTTAAAATGGAACACACTGAACACAGAAACAATACTACACGCACGATACCCTTTTCAGAGAAGTCCATTGCTGTGGCAGAGAGTACCTTGGAGGATGCCAGCTCAGGATTTCCCATGGTCCAAGGCCAAGGTATCTTATATTCTATCAACAATTCTGTTGTTTGGGTGACCAAATCCTACAGTTGGAGACATCTCCATGCACCCGAGAAAATCATTTGCAGGACATTCATGGCTGGAGGTGCAAGCCCCTTCCCAACATTTTCTGCCACCAACATCACTGAATGGGGATCCCTACTCAGCTACCTCTTGAGTTTTGTACCATCCACCTGGATGTTCAACGTGATCAAACTTGATGGGTTGCTACCGTCAATCCCATTCTGAAATCAGAACCAGGTCACCACCCGCGACTTCTTTTCGTCTACCAAATCCCTCCATTTCAGAGGCTGATGCCGGTCCTGGTACCGCTTGTACTGTAACTTGTCCCCACATTTAGAGAATGAAGTCGGATGCCAGAACCCCGGCGGTTTTCCCTTCCAGAAGCCCTGGAGCGGCCTACCTTTTTGGCCTACCTTTTTGTTGGCCAGTTTTGTTTGGCAGGGGGGTGATTCCCGGATGATGAGCACCTTTCGATCCGAAAAAGGCCCTAAGAAGAGGGGGAGTGGTCACTGCTCCTCACTCCAGACCGACCGGCCAGGTTTTCGCCCGATGGCGCCCCTCGGTCGGTCCAAAGCGTGGCGAAACGCGTGGCGGGTCAACCAAGCGGTCACCCAAGCGGAGGCACCCAAGAGGCTCGCTTCGCGGTGGCTCAAGTGGACCCTGCACTGCACCCTTAGACATGATGATGTCATAGAGTCTGACAGAACATCGCGGACAGGGGACTCCTAGTACACTTCTATATAATTAGGGTGTTCTTCGTTCAGGTCTTTAAGCATCTTCGTTCACCATTTACAGATGTGATAGGTCGCTCACGAGACACTTTTTCAGTACAACCGCAAACACATACCAGGACCCGACACCGTGGGGGTGCCCTGTCTGGAAGCCTATAGGTAGTGTGGGGTAGTTCAGCCAGGATAGGCTTTGCGACCTCTCCGCCCGGACCTGTTCTCCCCCGTCGCGATCACTCGGTGGATTGCCCCGGTCCCCGGACCTCGGAGTCGGACGGCACGGCACCGCGGGGAGCGGTAGAGGCGCCTGAACCGCTTGGATCTGAGGAGCAGATCCATTGCGTCTCGCGGCACGGGGTGCAAGTGTACGAGGCACCGCGAGGGTTTTGCGGTCTGAAGCGAGGAAAGTGAGTGCGATTTTTTTGGGAATGTTCTTTCATTTGGTGAGTTTGGAGCCACGAGAGGCTGTTTTGAAGCTGTTCTTGTTGAATGAACGATATGTTGAATGTCTCAAGCAGGAGTTCTTGGGCTTTTTTTACTCCAAAGTGACATTAGAGTGTCCGGAAGAGATTCCTTTTTGGGGTGTCTCTTGAGTTTCTATTTTCTGTTTGCTTGGCCTCTTCCAGCTGGCCACCCTCTCTCTTGGGGCGCCCAGGTGAGCTCGGGGCAACTGCTGGAGAACTATCCACATGATGTGCACGTGAACTATGTCTCGATGCGCCCTTCGGTTGAACAAAGAAATGGACGATCCTTGCTAGCAGGGAAGAGGTTACCCAGGGTTCCAGTCCAAATTTGAGGTGGTGAGCACGGTTTTGGAGCTTTGAAACTGATAGGTTTCTGGGTTGGAAAAGGCAGCGCAACAGATGAACCAGATCCATTAAGGCACCAGGATCGAACCAATGATTGCCCAGTGGATCTGCAGTTACTACCATATAAGGAACCAGCGTTTTTGGGTCTAGAGTTTTAGTCTTTGGAACCACTGGTTGTAGTAGGTAACTGTGTGATGTTCTTGCTCTCCTTTTCTTCACCTCTTGAAGACGAATGTCCTGCAGAAACCGCCCATATCTTTATACGCAGGCGGTTCCCTGTCAGTTCCAGACCCCGTTCACATCTCATCTCCGTCCAAGAACGACCGGCAGGTCTATAGGGTCTACGCTCTTGTTCCGCGACACTTACTCTCCTGCAGAGGACCACATGGATCCAGAAAACCACGAGAATAGTCTGAACCAGGGAACCATGGGATAGTCTGCACAGGGACGTGTTCCGCGACATTTTTCCTATATTTTTTCCTCATAAAACTCTTGTCTCCAATCTCCAAGACCTAAGTGTTAACCACCCGGAGTCTTTCTAAATTATATACTTGGCAGACTGATCCAAAGTCTGAAGGGCATGCTCGGCTGCTTCCAACTCTCCCTCTTCACCTCACATACATTCACGACTCATCTTCATCTCATCTATACCTATAGTCTGTTCCTGCCATCGACCGTTTCCATCCTCATCCACACCCCTCGTCCGAGACACCGAGACACCGAGACACCAGACGCCCCGAGGCTCGGACGGGCTCCTCTGCAGCTGCGCCGACGACGGGCGGCTGCGCTTCTTCGGCACGGCAGCGGCGGCACCGGCGCTGGAGAGGGTGACGCCGCGCGAGCGGGGCGACCGGGCACTGGGGGTGGGGAGAGGTCAAGGTGAGGTGAAGTGGAAGTGAAGTGCAGACGTGAGCTGTCGATCTGATGTGGAAGGTCGCTTTGGAGTGGCGGAATCGTTGGGATGGTGTTTTAGAGACCGACTTTGGAGAGTTGGGAAGAGTCACAGAGACTCGGAAGTACATAGCAGGTTCGATATTGGTTTAGGGCACACCCCCATCACCTTGACTTTTTTGAGCAACTCCTTAGTCAAAGGCCCCTCCAAACCAGCTAGCTCTGTAGGACTTCTTTTTCCTTTCTCGAACCTCCGGCGACGCCGTCCCTGCGCGGCGACGGCGTGAGGAGCCCATGAACTGAGACATGCAGAGACCACGAAGCGCAGCCGACCGCGGAGCCCAAAAAGTCTTCCGCGTTCTCCGCTCCGGGCGAAGAGCTGGTAGGAGCTGGTATTTAAAGTTCCTGGTGTCAAGTAGAAGCAGAATGGAACGCTTAGGTTTTTGGTGGCCTCCGGGGAAGGGCTCACATTGGCTCATATTGGCTCAGGAATTTGTAGATGTGAATTGGTCCAGCACTGATTCCAGGTGCCAGTATTTAGCAATGATATTCTCATGTTGGTGTCCACGTTCTTCATTATAGCATGGCTGCCATGCTTTGATCGTGTCCGGTCGACGTCGACCCAGCTGCCGAGTCACATCCGAAAACGGTTTTTGTCGACCGAGGCCGTGACTTGCTCCAACAATTCGAGTTTCTGGAGCTCAAGGCCGGTCTAAAACGGGCCATGCCGAGCTGAGTTTTTTCGGGTCTTAAGCTTGTCTTCGAGCGCGAGACGGACCGTCCTGCCGTCTTGTGGTCTTGTGTGTGTGTGATGTCTTATATATATATAATATATATATATGTATATATATATATCATATAGTATATAGCCGCCTGGCCTTTCGAAAGGCAGGAGCTTCGGATTTCAGCTTTCTTGGGTTTTCCTTTGTCGGGTTTCTTTGGGCGTGTGGGCTGGCGACTCGAATTCGGGTGTGCGGTGTGCTCCGTGGCCGGTAACAGTCGGTCAAATATGAAAGCCTTTACCATATTCTTTTGGAGAAAGGCCTGTATACCATATATCAACTATTTACTATAGCCATCATCATGAACTTTTTGCAGGATACCCAAGGCGGGGGTCCCTCCATGACACAGGAATTCTTGCGTCAACCAACTCGCCCAGCGCTTTCCGGGTCGTCGTCTCGGAGCTTTAGAAGTTGGGCGACTCGTCGTGGTGTGCAGTGCTTCCTACACTTTGGAGAACGTGTGGTGAGTCATTCTTGCAAATCGTTGTTTACCGCGGTGCTCAGTGGTTGGTTAGTATTGTTCCAATTTTTGCTTGGTCAAGGTCTTCCTGGTCATCCTCGTCAGGTTTCTTGGAGTTCAGGATTCACCTTCATAGAATACGAGTATGATGCACATGGACACCGTATTGCTAGCCATCCACACCCATTTGGTTTCCATCCCATCTCGTTCGTCCAGCTTTCTCCTAAGCCTATTCATCCGTTTGCCGTGCCTCTGGGCCTTTTGCCTTTGGGTCCCACGATTCTATGTTTGAACATCTTGTGCTGGGACTTGTCATACCCCAGCTGCTAGTTGCGGTGCGTCTCGGGGGCGGCATGAACACCTGCTCAGCCTTCTTCCACAGAACCCGTCGCGTCGCCCGCAGCGCCGCAGGGTCCGGTCGGTCGGTACCGGGCAAACCGACCTGTGACTGGCCTAGTAGGAGACACCCCGAATTCAAATCGCCCAAAAATCCCAGGTCGCCAGTGACCGTAAATAGGATACCTGGGGTACCCAACTGGGATAGGCGAACCTTCGGGTCCTTCCTCTCTTGGATTGGGCACGAGCCCACTCTTCAGTCCCACGCACCGTCGACTCCGCGGCGCGGACGGCAGGCGAGCACCTACGAGAATCTGCGCGTGGCCTTCCACGGTGCCGGCGAGCGGGGAGACCTGGGAGACCGGTAGACGGGTGAGAAGGAGACTGTGGTGATCAGCATCAGATATGACCAGAGATGATCAGATTGCATGGAGTTCCAGGCAGAATGATTGGAGCAATTCAAATTGATCATTTTGGATCTAGTATGGAACCATATGGAACCCTTTTTTCAGGGGTGATGGCATGGATTGAACGTCTTCGATAGGCACGAAGATCACAACGATCGTTGTTCCAAATGCCACACTGCTCATTCATCAAGTTTTTTTGGTCAACACCGGGACACTGGTTGACCACCGAAAATGAACAGACTACAGAGGGTTTGGGGCTTTGGATTTTGACCCACAGCCAAGTCAGAGATTATTCCGGCAAGAGACCCCAAACAGTGTGTCTAAAGGTCTAAGGTCTAGAGGTGTAGAAGTCTAGAGACCTAGACGCATTGGGTTCCAGATAGGGGTGACGGTGGTGGTGATGGTGGTGGTGATGATGGTGGTGATGGTGATGGTGGTGATAGTCTAGAGGTGGGATGTCTAGAGAACGCGCATTTGAAAGGCCATGTCGAAGCACGCGCAGGAGAGCACACGCATGAGCACACATATGAGAGCACATTTGCTGCGCCTGCCACGAAATCTGCACTTCAAGGTCCACAAAGTACTGCACCTGCCACGAAATCTGCGCTTCAAGCGCAAAGTGTTGTGCCTGCCACGAAATCTGCACTTTTCAAGGCAGCACTGCGCCTGCTACCAGTGCTGCGTCTGCCACGAAAATGCAAGGTCCACAAAGTACTGCACCTGCCACGAAATCTGCGCTTCAAGCGCAAAGTGTTGTGCCTGCCACGAAATCTGCACTTTTCAAGGCAACGCTGCGCCTGCTACCAAATCTGCACTTCAAGGTCCTCAAGCTCAAAGTGCTGCGCCTGCCACGAAAATGCACTTCAAGGTCCACAAAGTATTGCACCTGCCACGAACTCAGCGCATCAAGATTCACATCGCACAGCCCTGCCAAGGCGATTCGCAGCCAGAGCATTTCCAAAGACACCAAAACGTAGCTTTCGCTCGAGGCTTCCTCCGAACTCTGAAAGCAAACCACATGTCCAAAAGTTGGGCCCTGCCCCCCCCACCCCACAGTAACAGTCGTAAAGGGTCAGGGCCCTTAAACCACACCCCCAAAAACTACAATCATATTCAAAGTCATTTGGGGAACTTGGATTGCAATTTCTGGTCTAGGAAATGCAAAATGATTGGATCAGGGGGCGGGTTAACTCCAAAGAACACAAATCTGAACATATTTGCAAACCAAAAGCAACCAACATCATCCCTTCACTAACTGGTCAACCTCAAGTGGCAATTCAAAGAATGATTGACCCTACTTACCACAAGATTAATCTTTTGCTCATGCTCTCACAGCCAAAGGAAAGAGGAAAGAATCGAGGGAAAGGAGGGAAAGGAAGATTGTGATTACACTGGGAGCAGGATGAGAGCCAAGTCCAAATTGGCTCTGGCTCCCCACTCCCCACCCTCTGGCTCCCGGCTCCCCACCCCGTCGCTCCCGGCGCCCCACCCAATCAAAAACATTGTCCAATTTCCTGTGCATCTTTTTTGTTTTTGTTTTTGTGGTTTGATTTGTGGTTGTCTTCCGCCCTGGACCACAAATCATACCGCAAAAAAAACACACGAGTCATACCACAAAATAACTACGAACGCGACCACAAATCATACCACAAAAACCACAAACGCGACCACAAATCATACCACAAAAGTCAATGCACATGGCCTTTCGTCCTGCCACTCCCCTTTGATTCTATATTCAAAGACCACAAATCATACCACAAGAAACACCAAACAACCCACAAGTCACACCACAAAAAAATCACAAACACAACCACAAAAATACCACAAGTCATACCACAAAAAACCAGAAACGCGACCACAAATCATACCACAAAAAATGCAACAAAAAATACCACAAGTCATACCACAAAGAAACCACAAACGCGACCACAAATCATACCACAAGAAAAATACCACAAGTCATACCACAAAAGAACCAGAAAGGCGACCACAAATCATACCACAAAAACATACAAAAAATACCACAAGTCATACCACAAAAACCACAAATGCGACCACTAAAAAGAGCACAGAAAAAACACACACAAATCAGACCACAAAAATGAACACCAAAAACAGACAAAGTTGTGGTCAGTTTTGTGTGTGTGTGTGCGTGCTTTTTTTTGGTGTTCCTTTCCATTTTCCTTTAAAGAGCGGGCCACCAGTTTTCTTTTTGTTTAATGAGGGAGGCCCCCCCCTGGGCCTGGAACTTCCGGGGCCGCCCACAGGTCTCCCTCTAGAGCCAGCCCTTCTACCAGGCCTGCCATATGATGTTTTGGCAGAACTCCCAGACCATTTTGAGTGGATCAAAACTTTCGATCACTTTGCGAGTGGATGCGCTCAGATGAAAATGGGCACCCGATTCACTTAAGGGGTTTGTGGTACATGACTATTGTAGCCAGCGTTAAAAAGGCAAATGAAAGTCATCCTAATGCAAACCATGGCTAAACTGCTGTGTTTTTTCTGGTATGATTTGTGGTCATTGTTACTGTGCCGGGGCAAAGCCCAATCCAAAAGTCACGATTCACTGCACCTGCCACGAAGTCAGAGCTTGCATCTGCCACAAAATCTGCGCATCGACAGGAAACTCCTGCACCTCTCATGGAAATACTTGTAGCAGCGAATTAGCCGGACGCGCCGATGAACACCCCCGATTAGACACCCGGCCTGCTTTGGCGTTTTCCTGCACAAAAATTCTGAGAGAAAAAACAACTTCCTTCCTTCTTATGTTGTCGGTGCAGTTGACAGGTCGGCTGGCTAGTTGTCATGGACCTGCGGCTTTGACTACGAACGCTGTGCAGAAGGTTGAGGGTGTGCTGCAGTGGCTGTACAAAGCCAAGAAGATGCCAGGAAAGCCTCGCAAGCTTGCACAGGCACTCAAGCTTTTGAAGGCGCTGAACGGCAAAGTCCAAGATGTTTTGCGCCTGCAGCTCCAGCCCGAGGAGTTGAAGATTTCGGAGCTTCAGAAAGAGGCCCCTGATGACACGAAGAATGTCATGAAGTCTGGGTACCAGACCATGCGCAAGCACCTGGGCATGTTGCACCATGTAACAAACTTCTTGGAATTGCCGGATGGTACGCCTCTGACCCCACCAGGGCGATTTCCAGGTGATCAAGCAACTCCTGGCGAACTCGGCAAGGGCCTGTGGTGGAGACCCAAGAGCTTGTTCGTGGTTTGACGGCCATGTGCGAACCTATATCTCGGAGGCGGAGGGTGTAGCTCCAGTTTTGTCGAGATCTGCGACTGTGAAATCAGTCGACATACAAGACCTTAAGAAC